CAGCGCTCAGACAAGGTGATGGCATTCTCCATGGCCTGAAGAACAAGATGAAAGTGCCGAACATGCAGAAGAATAACGAACAGACATGGTGCAGGTGTTTCGAACGAAACAGATAAACGAAACGTGCAACATACACATAAAAAAGGACTATCTGCACCGCTGTGAGGTCGGCGGTCTCGTTTACACTTTCATGGCCAGGGGCCACTTGCAACGACCTTCTGTTGATGACGTTTTATGCTGTAGCTCAGATTTGCCTTACTATAGCATTAGCCAGCAGTGCCTTGCACTAAAAACAGTCTACAGTTATGTAGCAGGCGTATTGCGTAGTTTCCTGCTTCTTTCCCATAGCGTGAAACTGATTTATCGACCTCCAAAGAAAAAAGACGAATGACTAGAACCGAGACTCGATCAACGTCACCTCCTGATTCCGAGTCCAAAGCTCCACTGATTGCGCAATCCCAGCAAGGAAACATGAACAGCTGGTGAATAGTAACTGTATTTATTAGAGTACTTGATTCAAATAACAGCGCCAACAACAGGTGGTAGCCTTGAATAAAAAAACACCTAACTGGTAATGCACAGTACAGTTTATTATGTGATCATAGAGAGATTTAAAATGTGCCCCGAAATCTCAGAAAACTGAAACCGATCCCTACAAGACCGTGGCAGACAAGAAGGAAGATCGAAAACGAAGTAGCAGTAAAGTTTAAGCGTGTAACGTTTAGGAAGCAGAGAACCAAACGGTCAGGATTAAAAAATTTTTCATCTCGTTCTTCTATCATGCTGTACTACGTCACGATCATAATCATCATCATCACCACTACCACCATCATCATCTTTTCTTTCGTTACTACCGTGTGGCATTCGGTATTTATTCAATGTTACCATGAGTCACGTGACAGCGTAAACGTCAGCTGGTAGCAAATTCTCCAGCTACCATATTCACAACGCATCAAGAATTTTTAATTTAAGCTGATACGCCGTGAATCTGGGATTTCAAGGAGTCGTGCAGTTAGTGATTTACTCCCACATGTCAATCCATACTTTTCATGTTTCGCGAAAGGACGGAAAAGGATTACGAAGCATCGTCATCGCCCCAGGTACACGACCAGTAAGTTGTTATTTGATCAATAAAATCAAGGAAAATACATTCGTGTACTCCAGGAAGTCAAATATTAGTTAAATACTACGGAGAAGTAGTCAGCTTGAATGGTCACTATCTAGTTATTCTAGGGCACAAGGCAATGCCACCATGCCGTTTAACTCGTCTTAGACGGAACAGTGCCATTACTGACAGGACAATCGATTTTAAAAATACTCTCTGAACGCCTATTAAAAGCAAATATACGCATGCGTGTAAATAATGTCGATTAGATAAATAAGAGTTCTGTGGCCTCAACAAAATTCTGAATCCGCTGATCAGGAGGGGGCTGCGAATTTAAAAAGATAG